CAGTGTCCCTCGTCGCCCCCGCCCCGGTCATTGCGATCGCTTCTCCTGCCCTCAGCAAGCGGCGAGCTGTGCGGCAGAAAAAGGCCAGAAAACGATTGTGCAGCTGAAAGCCGCTCCCCTATCAGTGCGAGATTTCGTCTGTGCTTTCTCTCTGATAAATTTAAATCACTGAAAGCGTGTTTGTTAATTAAGGAAAATCGGTGCCCGGCTCCTTTAAAGGTCCTCTAATAGAAAAGGGGGTGGAGAAGAGCGAAGACTGGTGTCTTTTTAACCTTGCTGAAGGACGCAGCAGTATTTATTGACGTATGCAAATAACCAGGGGGAGGAGGTGGAGGAGGAGGAGGGTGCTTGGAAAAACAGGAACCAGAATCAGTTTCTCATTGCAGGGTGAGAGCTCTGAGTTCCGGTGTAAGAGAAAAGAGACGTGGCGAAATTGCTGTATATCTCTGCCCTATAAGCACATCTCTCATTTAGACTGAAGGGAAACAAGGCATCAAAAAGGGTGAAGCATCTTAAAAATATTTTAAAGGCAATCTAGCACGATCAAAGGTTACATATTCCTAAATGGGGGAGGGGGAAGATTACGGGTTTGCCTTGCAACTTGCTGTAGCATAGCACTAGCAATAGGGCGAGATTTTTGGCTGGCAAATGATTAAAACAGCCTGGTTTGTAGTATGAATGACAATGTTAATAATCTCTCTTTGTGGTTTTTTCCCCGACTGTTTCAGCTGCGCAAACCATGCAGGATGATTTACTGATGGACAAAAGCAAAGCCCAGCCCCAGCAGCAGCGGCAGCAGCAGCAGCAGCAAGATCCAAACTCAGCAGAAGCCCCCTCTACACCCATCTCGTCGGAGACACCCAAACCAGAAGACAACAGTTCAGTGACTAGTATCGGCACATCGGCTCCTTCCCAAAATAGCAAGGAGAAGATGCAGATGGAGTCTCCCATTTTGCCTGGCTTGAGCTTTCACCAGCCTCAACAAGAACCTGCAGCCGGCACCTCCTTGTCTCCCTCCTTCGGCAGCACCTGGTCTACAGGGACCACAAACACGGTGGATGATAGCTTTTTCCAAGGGATTACTCCAGTCAATGGGACAATGCTTTTCCAGAATTTTCCGCACCATGTCAACCCTGTATTTGGTGGCACTTTCTCGCCTCAAATTGGCCTAGCTCAGACTCAACATCACCAACATCAGCAGCAGCAGCAGCAAGCTCAGCAGCAGCAGCAGCGGAGGTCACCTGTAAGCCCTAATCAGGCACCTTTTGCCCAGAGAAATGCTGCTTACAGCCATCAGCCCATCATGACCAGCAAACCGTCTTCCTCCTCTGCCTCCTCTTCTTCCTCCTCCAGCTGGAATAACCATCAAAACGCAGCTTGGAGTACACCTTCCAACCCTTGGGGTGGGCTGCAGGCTGGTAGGGACCCTCGAAGGGCAGTTGGAGTGGGGGTCGGCGTTGGAGTGGGGGTTGGCGTACCCTCCCCCCTCAATCCCATTTCACCCCTTAAAAAGCCGTTCTCCAGCAATGTCATTGCCCCTCCGAAGTTCCCACGGGCTGCACCCTTAACCCCCAAATCCTGGATGGAAGACAACGCATTCAGGACGGACAATGGCAACAATCTGTTGCCTTTTCAGGTAAATGACTACATGCACCTTCTACATGGTGACAGCTATCACCAAGTTTTATTTTTTGCAGGGGTGTATTTCACGTTACTGTTCTATCTGCAAGGCATCTCCATAACTCATATTTGCATCGAATAGCTACCTTATATGAAGGAAATGGGGCTGATTCTAGGGAGTGCATACACAAAGATACCAAATTCTGGCATAAGGTTTATTTTTCTTGTAACTTATTCTTAAATGTGACAGGGCTTTTTGGTTTTTGTTGTTGTTTTCTTTTTTTTTTAGCATCCGAAAGGTAGTAGCCTTCCTTCATGAAAAACAGGTTTGGCAGACTATGTTCTCTTGGTGCTGTGTTTTAATTTTTTTTTTCATATTCTCCCATATGTGAGAAAGAGGAGATGTTCAAATTGCTGGCTTAAGGTTTTTAACTGGCATGTTAATTTTAACCAAAGATGCTTCTTGACCTGAAATCTGGTTAATTATTTTATCACCACTGAAATAACTAATTGTCCTTATGTTGTGGGATTTAACGGGGAGCCTGTTCGCATAAGGTATACATGTGAAAAGCTGTATATGTCAGATATGTACACCCTGCTGTTATATTCACAGTGAACATCTAGAATCAGCGTGGGTGTGTATGGAAAGCGTGGCGTATCTGTCCTTTCCAGTAAGGAAATGCCTAATAAAATGGATGTGATTTAGAAATGGCAGGGAGGGATTGCATAGAATAAACCATTTTATGCTGTTCAAAATATTTGCAGAGAAAAGAGACAATAGGACACGACCTTCAGAGCCATATTGCAATGGAGTCTATTTACTAGCTACATAGCTCTGAAATATTTAAAGCTGCAGTGCCCTTCACTGTTTTTTTTATCTATGACGACAAAGCAGATCAATTGCAGCTGAAACTGGGCCACATAGAAGATTTGCAATTTTAATGCAGAATGAAACCTGTCATGGTGTGAAATCCATTTTAAGTTGAAAAAAGGAGAGCATGCACTGGCAGTTATATGAGGTGAAGTGAATCTCAAATTTCTTCTAGGTTTGCTTTTTTAGTCCCAGACAAATAGAAATTTTCTGTTTTGAAATACAGTGACATTGTTCAAATATGTTTTCTCTTCAGGTAATCACTTTCTCAACAAAGTATGAACTCTCAAACATTTTAAATTTATCACTATGGTAAGATTATCATCTAGATTGACACTTAGTATTAGAAACAAAGTAAAAAAATTACTCCCCCCTTCCCCCTTACTTTTAAGAGATTGTTGAAGTAAAATACATGCATTCCTAAGCACTTTCCAGTCCCATTCAAAGAGGGGACCTTATAGTCAGCCCTGAAATTTCATTTTGCTGCTTCATTCTGTTTAAAGGGAGAGTTGCTATTTTTTTATTGGCTACCCTAAATGAAGGTGGAGTGGGTTTTGATGAACTGCTAGTCAATGTCTCTGTAGTACTGAAGTCTGGAGAAAGATTATACTTCAGACGCAATATACCTGGTTGAAATTCCTATGTTGCACAAGGATAGCAATACAAAAGCTAATGAATATAGCTCCCAGTTTCAATTTACAATTATTCTTTTATTTAAATTGTCTATACGTAAGACACTTAAAAAATCTGGTAAATTTGAATTAATAAGGAAAGCAACAGTAAATGGTCCTATTTCTCTGGTTTGGTCAGTGAGATACATCTTTAATGAATACACAGTGTTATTATTGTGACTGTAAATTGTCAAAAATGAAACTAGCAAGTATTTAGTCATGACTAGGGAAAAAAGTAGATAAATGTTTTTAAAGAGAAGTTCCTTTGATTTTAAAATTAAGGTTTTGAAAAGCTAAGGTATTAGCCAATATGTAAATTTGGAAACTTGTTTTCTTCTCAGTGAATTAACCTGGTATTTTCCTGTTCAACTGAAAGCAAATACTTAGACTACTCTCAGCACCAGCTGGAATAACAGTCTGATTTCAGAGACTCAGAAAACTTGTATTTTTTTTTCCTGTTAGGCTCTTTTTAATACAAGCTGCTGAATTTTGCAATCAAAATTGTAATCTGGGTTAATGTTGATTGCTCCTATACTTAACAAATTGCCAAAGAAGTCTTGAAATCATACTATTGATAGGAGGCAATTGTTTAGTTACAATGATGAATTTGAATTTCATTTTTAAGAGTTTAATATTTGCTCCCTGAATTCTCGTTGCCTTTTTTTCTTCTTCCCCCTTCCCTCCCCTTCCCCTCCCCCCCGAAATTGGGCAATATGTTGACACAGTTGACACAGTAAATTCTGCTTGTCAGCACTATCAAGTAATTCTGGCAGGTTTATCCATGTACATCTGCCACCCTTCATAACCAAGCGTTTTTGATCTGCTTCGGAAATACCTTTCAGTAAACTTGCTATCAACACATTAATGCACACTAGCAAGTTCTTTGTGCTAACCCATTCTCTTCTCTTATGTTGAGATTATAAGACTTTAAAATTTGTGATTTGCATTTAATAATTCCTTAATAAGATATGAAGCTCAGGATGTTCTAAGTAAAAAGAAAACTATTAATATGTTCACCGGTGAAATTAATAGTATAGATGATACCTATTTTTTAATTCAGGTCTTTGCAGTGCTCAAAAATTCTAAGCAGAAAACTTCTATAATAAAGGTTTGTGTTCTGAGTCTGTAATACTTGAAGACAGGTGATTCTCAGCTACCAATATATCTAGTTGTAGGAAAAAATGTTGAATCTGAAAATGTTTCTCTTAAGAACATGCATATAAAGCAATATGCTAGATGTCTTCATCCCTGAGTGTGAGTAATACATTAGTGCACCTTGTTTGTCAAAAACAAGCAGCATCTGTCCCAAGGAGTTGTGCGCAGAACATATCAGAATATTTAAAATATCAATTGGTAGGAATTCTGTTAGTGTCTGCCTTGTGGTGGTGTTGAAAAGCAACTAAAAATGCTTTGAAGGAGACTGTTTTCATATACTTGCTGAGAAAAATTGATTTCACTGTGTAAAATAAATTTGAAGATACGAAGCTGATAGTTGAAAGGGAAAAGAAAAGAAGCAGTCAGTCTGGAATGAAATGTAACGTAGCAAATAAGAGTTGGAGATAAGATCACAGGAATAGGTATGGAACAAGGCCAGATATGAAATACAGAAATGTGGCCAGTTTGTTCTTCTGAATATGCTTCAGCTTCCAAGTGGTTCAGGTGAAGGTCCTCTGTTGTGATTGTCATGTGACAAGCAGTAGTGGTGTTCCATTATGCTAGGCGATCCCCATTTCTGCTATTTGAGGCTGGCATTAAGTGATTGTCCCTGGGACTGGGCAACGGTTCAGTTCCTTTTTACAGCAGAGTGGTGGGGCTTGAAGAGAGCTATTGTCATCTCGTGCTTCTGAGCTGCTCCCAGAATTCTCTTTTCCTTCACTTTTCTCTCAGGTAAATAGTGCATTTCTTTTGGCTTTTGGCCATATGAAGATACTGGGACACAGCTTGTGGGGTTAGGAGGATTGATAGTGCCTGAAATAGACCATTAGAAGCATGGATAAGAAATTATCTTTATGGTGGAGAAGATAGAAGAATTAAATGTTTGGTGACCACTATGCTAATTGAGGAAAACTGCCCTGTGAATGTTTAATAACAAGAACACTATAAGAATTTCCCAGAAATTGTTCAGGTTTTGCTGCCGAGTAATGTTCTTTAGAAACAATAAAAAATGGACAATCACAAGTTTTAGATTTAAAAAGATGCACAGCAATTTGGTGTTCTGAAGATTCTGGCATAAATCGAGTCACTCTTGGCAGCTTTACTGATAAATACTTCTCTAGCAGAAATAAATAAGGTGGTATTTATGGTGGATAAAGATAGTTTTAACGTGCTATCTTTTGCAGGGAGGCTGAGAAAGGTTTTGAGGGGGAGTGTTTTGCTGTTTGTTTTTTTCCTCTTTGACTTTAGTAGGAATTAGTCTGGACCCAGATTAAGTTATAAGCTAAATTTAGAAATTATATGTAATTTCAATACTTCTTACTTAAACAAAATGCAGATCCAAGCATGCAGCGAGTTTGTGTATAAATATAAGTATATATGCATAAATATATGTTTGTATGAATATATATTTATACATTTAGCTATAGATACACTAATTAGTAATACATTAGCAGGCACAAGTACTTTGTCATGTGTTGTACTAAACACACTGTAGTTGTTTGTTGAGTGAGATGAAGGGCAAGGGAATGGCCGCTCTATGATGTTTATAATTCTAATGTGACTTTTGGCTGATGATTAATAGACAGCTCCTTAAGAAGCTGCTTTCTTTAAACAGTTGAAGTTCTTCAGGCCTGTGATATTAGCCCATGCTTAGCTTTCTCCATGTCAACAGAGATTGATATTCAAAATAAATCATGTGCATACACACACACATATAAAAATATACACGTATATGGAGTAAACTAATGCAGAGTAATTTTTGTATTCAAGTGCTAGGGAAAAGAATATTAAATACACTATTAACTTTAGTTTTATAATGTTTATGCTAATTTATTCACAGGCAATGAAGTGTCTGTTGCTTATTTGTCATAGTTCTGTTTCTTAACGCTACAGTAACCCGAAATGCATATTAGGATATGTGTGTGTGTGTGTATTAAAAATGATGACTGAATTAAAATGAGGTCAAGTATTGGAACATTCATCAGTGTAACAAATACAGTTTTATATTTATGAGTAAAGGTGTTTTACTGGCTAATACACTCTGGTCACTGTCATTTAAAAATCTTTGAATCGAGTTTAGTTGTTCTTTTTTTAACCAGAAATAGTTGTATTCAGTAAGCCTTTTTGAACATTAATTTGTAAAACACTGTATTTCTTTATTCTAAATTTGACATTTCTGGGCTCTGGCTTCTTGGCAGTTTAGTAGGTAACCATACTTAGTAGCATTACTGGTGTCTTGAAAACTATTTCTGAACATGTAGTCTAATCTTAATTTTTCTTACATGATGACACACAAGTACTAGCAGCCTGCAACTTGAT